AGTAAAAAAACAATGCCATTTAGCGGTTAAAATGATCATTAGATATATGTACATCGTATTATCAGATATTTTATCAAGATTATTATAATAAGTACAAATTTTGTTTACATTTTGTGTATAAATATAAATTATTTATATAGGCTATGCAGAGCGTATGCTTTGAAAATTTGTCAAAAAAATCAAAATACAAAAAAGATCAAAATATAAAAAAATCGAATTTTTCAAAAAAGTCATTTTTTTCCAAAAATTTCAAAAGTACAAATTTTGTTTACATTTTGTGTATAAATATAAATTATTTATATAGGCTATGCAGAGCGTATGCTTTGAAAATTTGTCAAAAAATCAAAATACAAAAAAGATCAAAATATAAAAAAATCGAATTTTTCAAAAAAGTCATTTTTTTCCAAAAATTTCAAAATTTTTCAAAATTTTGCAATTTTTTTTAAATATTTAGTTTTTGGTATAGGAAGTACCAGTAATTTGCCTTAAGGCACGATGCCATGCAGCACTAGTTTATGAAATAGTTTATGGTATTCGTTAAGACCATAATCATGCAAAGTAGCATCAAAATCGTTAATAAAAATTTTTCATTATTAATTACGATAAAATGCCAAGTCAATCTTTACTAAAAAGTAATCAGCATGATTCGCAACCGATAATTATTTACTAATCCGTATTTAGTTTCATTAATTGTGCAGCAATTCAGAATGACTCAAAGCCTCGAGAAAATATAAAATTAGCCAATGGAATTTCCTAGCAAAACATCCAAACCTTTAGTAAGTTAAAAAAAATCCAAGATACCATTACAAAATCCATTCTCCAATGGATTATTCAGCAGCTCCTGAAAGAGTTGTAACACCGATACCTAAGTCGGTAGCTTTTTTGGGATGAATATTTAAATACTAAAGACGCAGTTCGCCCCTCTATTCGCAGCCTTATTTTTTATTCGACAAATGCAAAATCGCCCTCGAGGCGAATCAAACCGTAGGAAACGGTACATCGTAGGCGATTACGTTCTGAGCAGATTTACAAATCGGATACGAAGGCTTTACGGGATAACTTTCAGAATAAATGCACACCGTGTTGTAGGATGAATAAAATTTAAAATGTCTTAAAGAAAAAGAAAGGGGTGACATTCAAATAGGGTGATTATATAAGGAAGGACGTTTTTTAGCATCCGAGATTAGGTACCAAACATTCACGAAATAATCGATGTAAATTCCTTTATCGATGTAAATTTGGTTAACATTAAAAATTTCAAGATTCATGGGCCGATTCTGCCGCAAAATAGACCAATGTTATGGCAAGGCTATGTTACGTTCTAGTTTTAAAAAAATGCTATTAAATATTGTCAAAATGCCATGTATTTTCTGTGCAATCAGGCGTTTCGCACATAAAATGCAACTTCACTCATATGTTATCAAACCATATTCTATAAAAATATCTAGATTTATGGGCCGATTCTACCGCAGAATAGACCAATGTTATGGAAAGGCTATGTTATGTTCCAGTTTTCAAATAAAATGCTACTAAATATGGTCAAAATGCCATGTATCTTCTGCGCGATCAGGCGTTTTACACATAAAATGCAACTTCACTAATATGTTATCAAGGCATACCTCAAAGATGCAGTTGATAACATCGTATTTTGACATTTGGGCGTTTGCTAAGTTAGATTTTTCATCTAAAACGCCTGACTGCATAGAAACCACGTAGGACAGTTTAACAGTTTTTAGTACCACTGTATATGAAAATTGCTACGTAACATAGCCTTGCTATAACATTGGTATATTTTACGGCAGAATCAGCCCCTTAATGATTCGGATCGAGCAATGGGCTCTAACAACATCAACGTAGTGCAGAAAAAATTCCACTCATTTAATTTAGAAATATTTTATTAAAATATATAACTTTGAAGAGAATTGATGCAAAAAATGATCAGAGCTCTGTGAGCAAAACCCATCAGAGGGGGTGTTGCAAGAGGGGCGAGTAGGTTTTAAAATCTTCAAAAATAAACCAAAAATGTTGAATTCATATGAAAAATTGAATGAATAAACAATTATTTTCATATTACATATTATAACATGCTGCCTTGTGTGGAAGAGGTCGCGATTTCAAGCCGCTCTGGCAACCTGATATCGTGCAGCAGCGATGTCCATTTTTACTTAAAAAATGAGTTTAAAAATATATTTGCAAAATAACTCTTTTCGCTCACTTTTTTGTTATAATTTATTTTTGTTAATCAAGACTTTGATGTCTTATTCACAAAATTGATAGATGCAAAAAAGAAATAATACAAAAAATACAATAAATTGAATATAAAATGTTTCTGAAATACTACATTCAAAAATAAACCACAAATGTTGAATTCATATGAAAAATTGAATAAATACATAATTATTTTCATATTGTACATTAAATTATAACACGCTACCACGTGTGGAAAAAGTCGCGAGTTCAAGCCGCTCTGGCAACCTGAAATCGTGTAGCAGCGATGTCCATTTTTTCTTGCAAAGTGAGTTCAAAAATATATTTGCAAAATAGCTCGTTTTGGTCACTTTTTTGTTATAATTTATTTATTATATTTTGTTATAATTTCGGGCACTGCGGTGTGAAATGGCAATGGAAAACCTTTCATGCCAACCTTCCTTGAATCGAGTTGAATTGAATTGTAGTTAATCAAATAAATTATATCAATTGAATATTTATGAAATTAGATTGCAAAAAAAATTAAGGTTGGCGCATTAATGTTTCTAAAAGAACACGAAGCGAGGTACTAAAAGATTGGAAACCAATGATCTGACATCAGAGATGTACAGTAAAATAATATCTTATGCTTATATAATGTGTGTTTATTATCACATATTATATAAACTTTTATAAAATAAAAAAAAACAAGATGAAGATCAGAGAAGAATCATATAACTTTAGATATAATATTCTAATTCATAAATGAGGACTATGAATCTAAATTTTATGAAACCACGAGTTAATATTTAATAAGAATTATGATTGTTCAATGTTTTGCATCAATCCAAAACAAATCTAAAAAAAATTCAGCAAAAAATTAATCATCGACAGTAATCGAACCATAATTTAGGTCCATATAAAAGAAAGAAAATACAAGCATTAACCATCACGATGGTAAAAAAATATCATTTGAAATTAGATTTGCATTTTAAAAATTAATAGTAAAGCACCTAGCCTATATGACGCGCGCTTCATGTTTTTGTTTGAGCATGTTTGTATAGAAGGCCTTAAAATATGTCAAAATAATAATAATAATAATAATCTATATCGAAACATATTTTAAGGCCTTCTATATATACATGCTCAAACAAAAACATAAAGCACCTGTCATATAGGCTAGGTGCTTCACTATTAATTTTCAAAATGCAAATCTAATTTCAAATGATATTTTTTTTCGATCGTGCACTGCTTATTATACTTTATAAATATTTCAATACAAATCAATATAATAGGAGAAAATAAAACATGAGTATCAATATATAAGAGCAATTATGCACTTACCGATGAAGAAATACATCACACGGCGTAACGTCACTTTGACCAGATTTCACATATTAATTATTACAAAACAGTATCGATATTTAATATTAATACTGCTTTAAAGTATTTGTTTATTATCACTGATATATTAAGGATAACAATAAATAAATATTATCATCTACTTTTGATAAAATAAATTAAATAACTACGTCACTTATGCCTAGTCACTTGTACAATACTGCGAATTTATTTAACAACTTTGACATTTACAAAAGCGCGGTAAATGTCTATGCCAACATTGCAACCTGAAAAATCAAAACTAATTTGAACAAAAAGGCGCCATATTCAAATATTTAATCAGATATACGTTTATTTAGGACTCTTATAATACAAATTTTAACAAACAAAATAACATTTATATGCTAACCGTAAAAATTAAAAATAAAATACATATACAATTTATACAACTATACAATAGTTTTTTATACATCTTATCTAAATATGTTATTCTCACATAATTATTGCAAATAAATATAATATCAATTTTATATTTTTATATAATTTATAGTTGAGAATTCAATGTAATATGGACTATAATTCTTGAGAAGTAGAAACATGTATAATGACATCAAGATTTAAATATAAACATTCAATTCAAGAAGAGTGTAATGTGTCAGACATGCTATATAAAACATGATTCAAATAATACTATATACAAAAATTTACATTTTAAAATGTTGTAACATATTTAACATACAACGTTTTTACTTGAATTGAAAATTTTTATAATACCACTTTCAAAATTAAGTAGTTGATTGTAAATTAAGTAAAATATAAAAATCATATTCAAAGTTTAAATTAAATTCTAATGAGATTATGAGACTTTCAATTTCTATTAACAAATCAAAAATTCATCTATACTATTTTAACAAACCCAAAGTATATCACAATCCATTAACATCTATGTATATATACAGAACATTTGTGTTCACTTGCTGCGCAAATATTTTCACAAAACAAAAAAGTCTTTGTTAAAAGTCACTGATAGTAATGATGTTTAGTATGCAAAATTTAAAAATATAATTCGCATAGATTTAAAATCTTGCGTGATGTTTTTCTTCCAATATTTAAAAGTTGACGGTTTATGACCCATCGAAATGAATTTGCTTTATATCTTAATGATATGCAGATAATCTCTCACTATTTGCCAAATGAGAGATAATTTTGGTCATTTTTCGACAAAATTAAGTTGATCATTCAATATAAACATATTTTGTTGATGATCTAATGATGAACCAGCCAACATCCGATTTAGTAAAAAAAAATTCTTCAGATGATACAAGCTTAGATCCCTTTACAATAATCGACTAATCAAACATTCATATTTGTATGACATAATTTAAAGAGTTTATGAAAAACTCTAAACATATTTGCTATTATTCCTTCGGTTTCAATAATGCTTTCCAATCAGTGCTCAAATTTTTATCCAGTGCTAATAAACCATCTCAAAGCCATACATGTAGTTCTACTACACTTCATCGCCTCGTTGCAACTGGCATCATGTTTTGTCTTCTATGATAATATCCAGCGACGTCTAATTCTTCTTGGGCCTTATGGTGATCAGGCTGATAGTGATGAGTCCGGTAAGCTCTTTGTTTTTCTTCGAAATCTCTCAATCTTTGGTTGTACCTGTCGATCTGTTCCCTGAGCATTGCGTCTTCTTGAAGGGCACGAGGTTCGTCATATTCCAGGCAACCTACACCGTCCAGTCGTTCTAGGTCAATCCACCCGCGCCAGCGCACGCAGACGCCGTTCATTATCATGGACGATCGGATGTGAACCTGTAAGGGAAAAGGATAATTGTTAATTGTAATAAAAAATATAAATAAATTTGATTTTAATAATTATTTTTCTTAATCTTCTTATATATAAAAATGAGTCGCAAAATGTGTTGGTAAGCCCGTAACTCAACAACCCCTGGACCAATTTGGCCAATTCTTTTTTTAAAATGTTCGTTTAAGTCCAAGGATGGTTCTTACGGCGAGAAAAAATTGAATAATTGCCAGACCCGAAAAACAGCCCTTTTTTCACATAAGAATGTTTTCTAACTAAAAAGTAGAATCAATTTGAGCTTTATTGCTATTATATCAAGTTCATATTAAATTACAAGCACTCACTGTATACTCCTCTTAAACGATTATTCGGATTTTGATAAATCTAAAAAAAGTTTAAAAAAAATTCTACATTATAAAATACTGGGATGCACATACTTCCCATATATTGTACAAATAAATGGAAAAAATGCAAAAAACGACCAGTCATTGTGCGCATTAAAAACAAATGAAAACTATCATCTGCCAAAAATTTCAATTTACTTATGAACCTAGACAATATTAGAATATGTATAATACATTTATGATTATGAATAAGAAAAATGAAATGCCTGTCTATTATTATTGCCAAAAAGCAGCTGAGATGTGCCAGAAATTAAAATAATATAAGATACAGTATATGTATGGGAGATTCAATGATACACATATGAAAAAATTAATTCACTCGAAATATGAAATTAAATATTAATCAGGGCCGCTCCTACCTTTAATGCGATGCATGCGAAAAATACGAGCGCACGCCTTAGGGGGCGCCAACACAAGATTCGGATATTAAATTTTCAATATAGTTTTTTTTTTTTCAATATATAATTTCTTTGCATCTTTTACTAATATTTTCATAATATTTTTAAAATTCGTAAAATTTTCACTTTATAACAACAAATGGGAAAGTAAAGATGAATACATATAATTCGGCCCTCGCGATGTCGATTAGGAGAAGTTTAACATGCAATTTTGGATTTCTTAAATAATAAAAAATTAAATTAATTTAATCCAACATGAAGTACCAGTGTTATGTTATGGTTATGGTTATATTATAACTATTAAAACACTTCAATTTCCAATATAGTGTGGGAATTGGGGCTCATCATTTTATTTAAAGAAGTTCTGCATTTAACATCGCTCATATTATATATGTATATGCATTCTGGCGTGAAGAGTAATTTAAAAAACAATAATTATCATTTTTAGGTAAACAGTAAACATTAGTATATTATATTAAAAATGGTAGACATGGGTACAGGACAACGTCTGTTGGGTCATCCAGTATAATATAAAATAACTTTTTATTCGATCACCGCGATTATTGTCACCAATTACAGAAACTATCCATACACACAAAACATTATTTATCATATATTGTGCACTAACGTAATAATATAACGAACATAATTGGATATAATGACAATTTAGAAAATTAAAATTACAAAAAAAAAAAAACTATCAGTTATACTATCAACCCCTATTTAACGTCAAAAAGTTAACCCTTTCCTATTGTTTAAAGGCCTAAAGACATATGTAATACCTGCCCCATGAAAAGCGATTAAACTATGCGTGTAAAAATTATTGTTAAATTATTGAAGTCGCGACATAATTTATAATTCTGGCAGCCATGTGTGTGGTTCAAAAGGGGTTTGAACAAATATTTTATTAAGCGGATGGACAGACAAACGAACGGACATTCATAAATTATTCGGATGTCTGGACCTAGAAAAGACCCTTGTTTTAATGGTTTGGACATTGATATAATGTGAAGCAGCCAGAAGGTAGATCGGGGAAGGCAATAACGATAAAACGAAATGATTTTGTTTTAAATGGTTTATAAGGGTAAAGGTAAGCAGAATGATTTAAAGACGTTTGGGAATACAAAGTGTCTTCAAATATATAGGTAATATTTCGCTATTAATCTTAACAATTATACATCACTACAACAAAAACAGGAACTCATTTTTGTTGCAAAATTCGAATGATGAATATGTTTCAATATAGAAACATATTACTCCCATGAGCAAAATTTTTATTTTACTTAAAAAAATTAGAGAAACAAAAAATCAGTAATTATATATTTGATAATAATGAATCATGTGACTTTGAAAGTCACAGCAGCATACAATGCTTCGCACTTCTGTATATAAAAATGTTATTTCAGGTTGAAAAGCCTAACAGAGAACATAAATGTTGACATTGTTGACAACCATGTAGAATTAAGATTTATGCCATAATTATTTGATAAAATATCGAAAAATTTGGAATGTGACCTGAAAGTTATGCGAGTTCATAGAGGGTTAAAATTATCTATTTTTAATCTTGATTGACATCAAGCTAATAACAATCTTTAAATTAATGAGACTGCAAACATTAAGTATCAAATTTAGAGGGCAAAAAAATATATCAAAGTTTATATAGACCTTATTTACATATTGCTTGTTCACGCCTCGCACGGTTCAGGTTTAACCCTTTGATCATATCAGGGATTGTCAAGACCTTTACAGTAGAGCTAGATGCAGCTTTTAAACAAAAATAAAATAAATTCATTATTACCATTGATCAATGGTAAAAAATGTAAGTTAAAGTTCTGTACTAACATAAAAGCGCCACTGGATTTAAGCCATCAACTCTCCTGATAAAAAATGGAAATAACTTAATCATTATTTATAAGAAATTATTTAATAAGTAAATAGATAAAATTATATAATTATCAATAAAAAATTGTGAATTTTATATCGAATGGAAAAACAACTACTGAGTTGTTTTTTCCAACATGCCCTTGTAGTATACAATGTCCTTTTCGGCCGACTATAGTAAATTCATCAAATTTATTGAATGTCCTTTACTGGACAGATGTCCAGTAAAGGACATAAAAGAGATAAGAAAAAAACTAACGTTTTTAAAATTCCATTTTTTTAAATGCTCGAAATAAATATTTTTTATGGCTGTTTTACATCTTCATAATATTGTGCAATTGATATTAAAAATCCAAATTTATGTACGAAAAATACTAAAAATTGCCTTACTTCTAATCGCATGCATATCTATTAACTTCGGATAACAAAGTTTTATAGTGGACCTTACTAAAGAACTCTTGTCCTTCCCAATTTTTATTTCATTCATTTACACCATGTTCAACTTGATAAATGTACAGCAGTTAATTTTTTGTGAAACAAAGGGTCCAACATCACATCACAAAACGACCCATGGAAAGCAATCGTAGGGCAATGGTTCTGGGCGGTAACGGGTCAATTTATATTTGTTCCAAATGTAATAGCCATTGGATGAATGACGGATCAAAATGCAAATAAATGCCTTTTGTTTAAATTAATAAAAGAATGTCCCGAATACAAAATAACTTATTTGCATAAACGTGACGTGAAAAATGTATGCTGGCTTTATGGGGTGACGAAATAAAAAGAAATTGGCTTTGATTTATTGTGGTGTTGTACAAACAACGGTCATCTAAGGAAAGGGATAAATAATGAAAATTTAACAGTAAATTACAGATTAATATTACAGATTTTAATTTTTTTATCAATTTCAAATTAATTTGGTGTAATCTAGTAGTTACACAAAAGTATTGGCTATGCATAACTAGTAGCCATTCATTTATATTAGATATAAAAAAAATTAAAATAGTGCTACCAGAAGATTAGATTTTTTAACGAAACAATTAATAAAGATCTCAGAAAAACCTATTGTTCTTGTTTGCAATGCAAAAGCATTCTATCTGCCTCCTTCAATAGAGAGATTAAGCAATCCTTATAAAAATATGTCTATAAAATGCAAACACATGTCGTCGTACCTCGTACCAGGTGCCTATAAAAACCTTACTATTATAAAAAACATTATCCCGTTTGTCGAAAGGACTAAAAGTCATTCAATAAAGACCTTTTTATACATATAAAAGGGTTCGACATCTTGTTCCCTGCCGAGCATTTGAAGTATACACAAAAAAGTCCACATTAGATTTTAATGGCCACCCATCGGGAGATTTCGATACAGATTCAAATTTTGCGACGCTCGAACGCGCTCTACCCAAAACATAGACACAAGAATTGCATTGTGTTAAATTGAAAACTCAATAGTAACAGATTTTCTACTCGAACGTATCTATCCCGCTGGTGTGTATTGTTCTCAATTATGTTTTTTGGATCAAAAGGGGTCGAAATAGGACTCATGTTGTGCTTTTATAGTAATTCTATTTTGATTATTATTATAAAGTTTCGGAGAGCCCCCGAGGACTGCGGAAAGTGCTTGTTCGGATGACCAGTGGCCGCGAGTAAAGGTAATAATACTTAAAGTTGATGACATGTTGTCCAGCGATAATAAGCTTTGGTGTATTACAACCTTTTTAAAAGAGGTTACACCTTTTAACACCCCAACTAGAAACAAAACTATATGAAAAAAATAATATATAAACCAATGATCAATAAAAACCTATACCAATTATAATTGGATTTTGGAGTTTGGGCTCTTTCAATAATTATTTTTTATAAAACAAAATTAATTAGAGAAAGTAGAGGCTTATTGAAACAAGGATAAATAGTAACAGGCGTTTTTAAAAAGAAACTTGAACGATATTAAAAAAAAATTGTCACGATCGGGCCTGTAGACCGTTCTGTATAATATTATCATAGTTACTGTGCAGCATGCTGATGCAATATACAGAACTGTGCAGGTGCGTCATTTTTGACATGTAATACAAAATTGTGCTATCATTAAATTTCTGTTTGCGTTATTAAGAAACAAATTTTAAATTTCATATATCTTGATTATATTGATTTAAAAAAAACGGTTACAACAAGCTCGTAGCTCTCCTATATCAATTTTACAACAAATATGTACATGATTGTGTATGATTTATTATTTATCAGTTGCATTGAGCTTTTTTAATACAGTTTTCTTCGCTTTACCACATACGGCTCCTGTAATTTTTAGTACAGATTTTAAATTAT